GGGAAAGAAAGGAAGAGAAGCATGCCTATGCTGGAGGACGGCTGTTTCATAATGAAGGAGAAGAGTAGGGTTTTAAAATTATAAACATTACCAATTTACCCTTTATGTTATTTTAGGATATAATATTAATTATTTAAATGAGTGGCTCACATTGGTTCTCACAGTTACTACAAACTAATCAGTTCTCATTTGACTAGGCCCATATATATATATATATATATATATATATATAAAGTTTAATCATTTGGCGACTTTAACCCTTCAATAATTACTGATTGTTATTTGAATATGGTGTAATTCGGGTAAGCATAGAGTACAAATACGTTATGCATAATTCTACCAAAAATTCACTTAAACCAATTTGTACAAGTTAACAAAACACGAATATTATAATAAATAATATTATTATCTAAATCTAGTAAGAAAGTGAGTAAGGATTAATAAAATATTTTGTGGGCTTAAATAAAAAAAATGTGTGTATATCGATAAATACCACTAAAAAGAAAGGGTAGTGACATATTTGATTGTATATCATGTTCAATGAACACATTATAACTAATATTGCATAAAAACTTCAATTTCTACATATTTTTCATCAATAAAGCCATCAAAAACGGTGTTGATGCATGATTACAAATACATTACTTTTTATACGAAAACTTGTACATAATTTTAAAACAAAAATATGGTGTCGATTGAAAATGCTCCATGTAGTTTGATGACAAAGGTTGGGCATTTTTGGGATGCCAAATTGGGTATGTAAAGGCTTTAAAGTCTTCTTTTTAGCCATTCATTCTCATATGAATATGAATGCAACAGATATAATGAGAGAAATACAGTGAAATAAAGAGGTGAAAGTGATGGAGGAACAAGGAAAAAGAGTTAAGTGTACAAGTATCTGAAGCAAGTGAGGTATATACTTTCTCTTGTAGCATCATGATGATGACTCTTGATAGTAGATTATAGAGTTTAAGCTTTTGAAATTAATTTTATATATCGCATGAATATAAGAAAAAGTAATCATCAATGATGAGATTTTCATGAAATATTTAAGTTATATACATATTTATCTATGAAAATGTATTGACGAGAGGGTACACTCATTTAGAGAATAAATGGGTGACATGAAAATCATTACTTTTACTGGTTTGACGGGACAATGTTACAAAAATAGAAGAAGGTGGTTTTTGATACATAGACATTATTGGAATAGACTGGACATGACAAAAATGGACAGGACAAGATTGAACAGAACAAATGTCTATCTGGTATTTGATACGACCAGGACTGGACATGACAGAACTAGACAAGTCTCGAAAGTTATTTAATGATTTTATATATCATATAATAACCATAATTAACACAAGTAAAGTAAATAATTAAATAATTTAATTTATAATCTTTTTTACACAATCTTCATATAACATAAATAAATACATATATAATAGTACCAAATTAAAATGAAATTTTTTATATAATCGATGATAGTTTAAAAAACCAAATTTGTATAAAAGAGAAATCATGTCTTATTCGGTCTGGAAGATCGTTATCAATTGGTGAATACACGATGAAGATTGTAACAAAAATAGTTGTGGAGGTAGAGGCATCGGTGATTGGTGGATGATGGTGATGGTGTTTGCAGTTGACAATGGTGGAGGAGGTAGTTTGTAGCCGGTGTGATGGAGGTAGTGATGGTGGTGGGTGGTAATAGTGGTAGCCGATGGTGGTGGTGGTTATGGTGGAGATGGTGGTGGCCGACAATACTAGTGGTGGTGGTGATGTGCGATGGTGGTCGGTTGCAAACGGTGATTGTGGAGGGTTTGAAGATGGTAGATAGTGGTAGTGATGGCGGTCGACAATGGTATAGAAGTAGTTGTGCCCGATGTGGTGAACATAGTGGTGGTGGTGCGTAGTGGTAGCTGATGTTGGTGGTGGTAGTGGTAGTTATGGTGGAGGTGGTGATGGCCGACGATACTAGTGGTGGTGTGATGGGCTATGGTGGTCGGTGACCGATATGGTGAAGGTAGTGGTGGTGGTGGGTAGTGGTAGCTGATGGGGTAATAGTTATAGTGGAGGTGGTGATGGCCGATAATACTAGTGGTGGTGTAATGGGCTATGGTGGTCGGTGGCCGATAGTTGTTGTGGAGGTAGAAGCAGTGGTGGGGGTTGGATGACGGTGGTTGTGGAGGACGTGAAGATGGTGGATAACGGTGGTGGCGATCAATAATGGTGGATAAGGTAGTTGTGGCCAATATAGTAAAGGTAATGGTGGTGGTGCGCGATGGTAATGGTAGTCGATTGTGGTGATGGGCAGTAGCAATGGTAACTGTAGTGGTGGTGGAGGTGAGGTGGACCAAGGTAGTAGTAGTGGTTGTGATGGACGGTGATGGTCGATGGTCGACAGTGGTTGTGGAGGTGGTGGAGGAGGTTGTTGTAGTGAAAGAGGAGGTGGAGGTGGCCAACGGTGGTAGTGGTGGTGGCAATGGACGGTGGTGGTTAGTGGCCAATGGTGGTTGTGGAGGTGGCGATAGACGGCGGTGGTCGACGATGGTTGTGAAGGTGGTGGAGAAGATCGTTGTAATGGAAGAGGAGACGGAGGTGGCCGATGACGGCCACCGGTGATGGCAACGACTGCGACTAGCAATGATGACCATTAAAACAAATATCATATTAATGTTATACATCAAAAAGGAGTATATTAATAACATTTTAGTTTCCGTCCCATTTTGTCCCATCTTGTTCCACCTATTTTGGTGGAACAAGAACAAACCCTTTTTGACCCACATTGTCTCAAAATGGAAGAAACATATTTTTTCTCGGATGTCGACCTTTTGCTTAAGATCAAATGTAGTATATGTTTTTAGTTTAACATATTTATCCCAAATCTTAGGTTTTTTTTTGTTTAGATCAAGTATATTATTTGTTCTTAGTTTGATATCTAATATATAGGTTTTCAGCTTGCTTGATATTTAGCTTTTTATATGAGAATGTCCATTATACTACTTGGTGATGTAGTTATTTGTATATCGTCTTGGTGTTACTACTATCAAGGTTTGACACACCCCTCTAATTACAATTCAAATATTATAGAATGTTAGGATAAAGTGTAGTGTTTGTTTTTATCGGTTTAATATCTGATATGTGGGTCATCGACCCCACTTGATGTTAATTTATTTTTTTACAAGGAAAGAACAATTATCTTAGCTTGATAATGTGGTTCTTCATGCATCGCCTTGAACTTCCACTACTGTTGTTACAACTTACGCACTCCTCTAATTTTCACTTAAAATATTATAGAACGTTTCTTTTTCATAACTTCAAATGAGATTTCAATTAAATTTGTTACAAAATTAACATCATCATTTTGTCAACTTATATGAGATTTCAGTTAGAACTATTATTTCTAATTAAACAAACTACTAATATTAGTCAAACATTTGTAGAGTACTTTGTAACACCGTTCTCGAGCATAGTTAGATAACTTAAAGTAGCATATGGTTTTAAGATTGTTGTCAACTTCTCTTAAAAACTTTTAATGTTAATGAAGAGTTTGCCACACACATTTGCCTATTTTTAGAAGTGGACTTCAAATTTTAGTCTATAACATTCCTTTTGATAATAATATTATCACTACCGCGCAACGCGCGATTGGACACTAGTATATATATTAAATGAGAAACCACCGAGTATGATATGGCTTCTCCTAAAAGCTAGAAACTCAATTATCTTTTTTCTCCTTCATCCTCCTTTAACCACTTTTTGTTCTAATTTTCCACTTTAATTTCCCATCAACATTGATTATATTTTTATGTTTGCACTTAATGCCATTCTATTCGTTTTCCCTAACTCCTCACCATCTCCCAGTCGTTTCGTTTTTCTTGAGCTTATGGTTCTCTCAATATGTCAAATTGAATTTCCATCAAAATGGAATTAACAACCTTCATGTTTTATCAAGTTTGTATGTGTTACGTCGTTTCACTTTTGTAGAATTTTTTCTGACCTATCTGTATCGTTCATCCATAAATTTTCTAGGTAACATCATCATGAGTTTGTAAAACTTTTTAGTTTTCATTTCTTTTATGTTTAAATTGTTTACGTCTTTCATCTTTAATTGAATGCCCTATTAAAATGGAATCAACAACTTTCATATTTTATCGAGTTTGTATTTTGTGTTTTGTTGTTTCTCTTTTGTGAAATTTTTTTCCGACCCATCAATATCGTTGTTCATCCTACATAAATTTTCTAGGTAGTAGCATCTTCGTAGTGGCTTACTTGAGGAATAGACATAGAAGAAGTTCATTGAGCAGTAGGCATATCAAAGAATTCCCACTCAGGTCGAAGAATACATTCAATCACTAACATCCCGAATATATACGTAACCATAATCTTCTCCAAGGAAAGTGGGCCAACAAGTTCATGTAATCTTTTTGTTATGTATTCTTTCAATGCGATTGATTAAAGTTATTGACATGTATATAAGGGAGTATGCAAGTAATATCACAATGTTATACTTTTTTCGTTTAACTTTGAGTATAGAATGAGAGATTTCAACAATAGGTATCACTTTCTGTGGAACTTTATGTCTACTCTTTTTATCAAATGTTGAATTAATTATTGGAATTGTTTTCTGTTATGAAGTTATAATTTGATATTGAAGTTGTATAATTATGATAAATTGAGCATTTTATTACGATTATAGAGTTATCCTACTAATGGATTGTAGCTATCATTATTTATGATTATATTGCTCTCATATATTAATGTATAGTGATCTCTCTTAGAAGGTTTAACATATAAACCAATGATTTTACTTTATTGAATCAACACAATAACGATAGACTACAAGATAGAAACAATACAAATTTCAGATCTAAACAAGAAAACTAAAGAAACTTACGAACACCTAAAATCATTATCTGCAATATGAAAGAAAACTAAAGAATATTTGAGAGTAATCTTTTTTAGAGAGAGAGAGAGCTAGATGAGAATTATTTAAAGGAAAAATGAATGAATGAATGTGCATGTGGAGACGAAAGACTATATATATTTTCTGTAATTGACACAACAACCCTTGAAGATATGAAGAATGTACTCCGCTACCCTTGTAACTTCCATATATGTGAGGCGCAGCCCTTTGAGTTATATCCAAAACATTCTTTGGGTAATCTACAAGATCTACCCTGTTCTGTTAAACAAATAACAAACAAGGCCAACATTTCAAGTTAGTCAAGATTGTAAAAAATAACATCTTTCAACACCCGCCCTCAATCTTGACTCTTGAACAAGTCAATCATTTTGAGTTTTGAACACAGGTAATTGTGATAGTTAACATTGAGAGCTTTAGTGAGAATATCAGCTGCCTGCTCAGAAGAAGAAATTTTTACTATTTTAAGAATCCCTCTATTAATTTTTTCACGAATGAAATGTATATCAATCTCAATATGTTTTGTTCTTTCATGAAAAACTGGATTGTTTGCAATTTGGAAAGTGGATTTATTATCACAGAATAAATTAACTGGAAGAAGATTTTTAATATCAAGGTCAGACAGAATTTTTAACACCCAAATAATTTCACAGGAAACAGATGCCATAGCTCTGTATTCAGATTCCGTGGACGAACGAGAAACAGTATTCTTGTTGGTCCCGAAAGGGTCTACAAGATAAGACACAGTTTGTAGAAGGGGGGGGGATGAATACAAACACAGAGTTTT